CATTGAGCACTACATAAAAAACTAATGACGTACTATACAGTGGCTAACTGAACATAGTAAGAAAAAAGGGGGGTGGGGAATCTGGTAGTTAAAACAAAGCACAAAGCATGGGCTATCTCTGAAGTCAGTAACTATTTCAGGGTGTCATTAAGTAGTTATCATGAGCTTAGGGATAGCCCTGCAGTAAGGCCCCAGCAGGTTCACTGCCAAGTGCAGGCCGATGGTGTCCCACAAAGAGTATTTGCTGCAAAATCACCAAAGCCACTGTTTCCAGTCTCTGTTCTCCAACCCTTCAGGAAGAGCACAAGCTGTCTCCTCCAGGGCCCCAACAAGAAGCAAACAGAGCAAAAAAACAAACAAACAAACAAAAATAACTAACAAAGAAAAAAACAACACCAGGTGAGTGTCAGATTGTCTGGAAAGCGCTGCCTGCTGACTGGTAAGTTGGTGAGACACTATTTACCAACGGAGAGGACTGTCAGGCACTTGCCTCTATTCAAGGTCTGATTCACTGCCGACCTTTCATCATAAGTCAATCCATCCTACATGGACTGTCCTCTTCAACTTGACACCAACCATGAACTGCATGGTTTAGGTGATTAATTAATGGTCATAAAACAAACGAAAGAACCCTCACTTATTTCTATTTATACACAGAGCAATGTTATTTAAATACTGTAGTTAAATCCAACTGCTACAAAACAAATGAGATTGGATGTTTGTCATATTTTGGCTACCCAGTCTCCAGTCCCTCTTCCTAAAGAGCACCCATTTCTTTGGAGAACTTAACTCTTCCCCACTGCATGTCATCTTCCTGAGTGGTACCTGCCTCCTCCTATAAAACCTGGGCAGCAAGGACCACATGTCTTAGCTCGGTCAATCAGATGTCATCTCCCAGGACTCTCCCTCTTGAGTAGCCTATGGAAAAAGGCCGTGGATGGAAATGGAGGGTATTATGCTACGTGAGATAAGTCAATCAGAGAAACACAATTATCATATAGTTTCATTCATAATGTGGAACATAATAGTGCAGAGGACCATAGGGATGGGCAGGGTGGGGGAACTGAATGGGAAGAAATCAGAAAGGGAGACAAACCATATGAGACTCTTGACTCCTGAAAAACTAAGGGTTGCAGAAAGGGACGTGGGTGGGGGGATGAGGTAACTGGGTGATGGGCATTAAAGAGGGCATGTGATATGATCAGCAGTGGGTGATATACTCAACTAATGAATCATTGAACATTATGTCAACAACTAATGATATACTACTATACCTTGCTTAATTGAATTTAAATAAATAAATAAGTAAAATTTTAAAACTTCAATAAAAGGAAAAAAAGAAAAGAAAAAGGAAATGATGCAGAAATAAACTGACCCCTTCTTCCTGTGGTTGGCCATTTTCCCACTTCCTCAGCTCTATGAGAACTCCCAAAGTTCTTGTTTACTTGCAAGACTGGTTCTCCACAGCATCTTTGCCTTAAATATTTGACCTTGCACATTGGGGCTTCCCCAAGATTACCTCTGAACATGTTAGCAGGTTAGTTTCTGATGCTGCAGCCAAGGACACTGATAGATACCCATTGGCAAGGATCAAGCTTAATTAGCAAACTCAACTGAATGGAACCAAAGAAACAAAAAATGAAGGGGCCAGAATGGCCTGAGAAAATATTTGAATGTGAGACATTTTATTTAGCCCTAAATGTCAAGTAGGACTTCTCTGTCCCTTGATATCTGGGGAAAATTGGCCAGTCTCTTAATTCTACAGCCCATAGGGCTTTTAAAACTTTTACTCTGGTTTCTGAAGTTTTCCCAGGCATGCGCACTCTTCTGTTATCCTGTGTGTTTTGAGTGTTTGTCCTCATACATGAGTTCTCCCTCCCTAACACCCCCGGACAGGTTTGTCAGCCCTGTCACTAAGACACACTCAAGCACGCACACACGGTCACATAAAATATGTGTCGCCTCGTGGAGGCGCCATGGTTCCGTGGTCTTGAGCAGGTCACTTCAGCTCTTTGGGACTTCATTCCCACACCCTATAAAGCGGGCATCATAATAGCAAGGGCCTCCGAGGACTGCTTGAAAAAATTGCTTAAAAAAACTTGACGTGTATTAAGTTCATAGCTCAGACGCAGTCAACATCGACTCTCCATTCCCAGTCAAGCTAGAAAATTTTTCTAAGGAACAGGAACCTGGGAGAAGTCAGCACACACACCATACACACTTCAAACAAACAAATAAAGATTTCCAACCTAACTTCTCTCAGAGTCCCTCTCAGGCAACCTGCCACTGGATGGTGCATGCTTTTCCAAGCAGTGCCCCATCATCTATTTTCTTCTTTAACCTTCTCCCTCCTCTGTTCATTCATTTTCCCATCTTCAGAGCAAGCCGAAAAATTCCTCTCCTGTACCAGAGCCCTAACCCTTTGGCTCTCGTTTTATGTGGGAACTTCACAGACTGAAAGTGTTTCCTTACTGGAGAAAAAAAAAAAAAAAAAAAAAAAAAAAAAAAAAAAATTTCTGGTTCCTGCTCTTGAAGTAATAAAATTTATTCTAATTCTACCTAGAACATTGGTTTCTAGAACCTACCCACTGAAACAGCAAACTTATAAATTTTTTCACATCCTGTTACTAATGAGTATTTTAAAATTACATAATATTTTTCCTTATACAAACTTACTTTCCTTTTCCTTTTTTTAAGATTTTATTTATTTATTGGACAGAAAGAGACACAGAGATAGAGGAAACACAAGCAGGAGGAGTGGGAGAGGGAGAAGCAGGCTTCCCACTGAACAGGGAGCCCAATGTGAGGCTTGATCCCGGGACCCTGATACCATGACCTGAGCTGAAGGCAGATGCCCAACGACTGAGCTACCCAGGCGCCCCTACTTTCCTTTTTTAAAATAAACTTATTTTTACATTTTAAATGAATGTAGTTTAAAAGAAAATTGTATTTCTCCACTATAAGTGCCAAACTAGTATGATGCATCATGATAGTTACTTTAAAAATCAATATTTACTTCACAGCACTCACCATAGACCTGTACCCCTGGGGATAAAAATATATTATATGTTTATAAAAAATAAAATTTAAAAAAATCAATATTTATGTAGAAATAACAAAAGATTCATATACCACCTAAAATCATTATGTATTACGAGTGATCTATGTGTCACAGTTTGGTAAATGTGAGCCTAAAATATCACCTTTATTATGAACACCCAGAGGCTGGACTGAGGAGGATATGAGTGGACAGTGTGTACATCTGCATGTTACTAATAGTGTGGGTAGAGAGGGGGAGTGAACGAGAATGAACATATATTGATGGGATCAGGTTGGAAATCTGACAGAGAGGATGGTCCAGAGAGAAGATTCTGGGGAGCAATACCATCTTGTACCCCGCAATATTGTTCCATAACACCCAGGAGAGTGGCTAACATTCATTTAATTGAACTGTATTCTGCTGTTACAATTCAATGCTACTATAAGTAACTGCTGAAAAGCTGGAAAAGTTAGGGATCATAAAATCTGAATTATCCAAAAAGAAGTTCACTTTAACAGCTGATGCAGTTTGACGACATAGTGTTTGAAACTTAAAACAATGGCATAACTTCTCATCATCAACATGGCCCCCTTTGGCCTTTTAACAGAAATCAACAACAACAAAAAATTGAGATTCTCCAGATTCCACTCTGCTTTCCCTGCACAAAGAAGCTCACAAACTTTCGGAGGAAAATTAAACACATGGCACCAGCCTCAAAATCGGTGTCAAAGTTCTTAGACTTTGCACCAAGTCAGAGCGTTGAGTCAGTAACGAAGTCTAGAATGCTTCTATTGTAAGTAGAAAATGTTCTATGGCTAAATGTACAGGGCCTCTGTGCATAGCTAGGTACACTAGAATCCACCTGAAAATATATGTATTTCCAACCCAATCGGGGTTGGGTATACATATCCACACCAATATATGTATATCCAACCCATTGGCAATATATGTAATATATCAACAATGACTGGGTGATCTGCAATTCTTTATCAAATACCCACCGTGTGCCAGGAATTAGGCATGCGACACCTTCTGCCCTTAAGGAATTCCCAGGTTTGGGGTGACAGTATGTCTCTGCAGCTCGAATCGCATTACACTAGACTCTCTGTCAAGATATCTGACAGCTCTCTTTCATCACAGCATTGTACTACGTCAAACACGGAAGCGCTGTGCCCTTGATCTATACCTGAAATGTGCTTTCCTCTAGTTCTCAGGTGAAAGAAGCACCGCTCCCATGATTGCACCAGGAACATTTTTTTTTTCCCAGAATGTTTTCCGGCTATTGATACAGACGACTAATGCTCAGCCCCAAATGCCAATTCATAACATTCAAGCCCTGTTGAAGAAAATTTTCTTCACCCTATTTGATTGTGCCAAATAAAATGCAGCAAACCTTCAGGGAAAATCTTCCTTAGGAGCTGCTCTATTATCTGATCTCCAAGGGTTGCAGGAAATGACAGGAAAACCAAACCAAACCATCTATGTAAGCATACCATGCAGCCATCAAGCCACATAATCTAATAGCCTGGTTGAAATAAGAAGTGGGCAGACCAGAACCTGTTATAAAAAGCTATCTGAATGTATACCTGAGGTTTCAATGTACAGAGAGACATTCTTCAGCTATTTTTACTCCCATTTAAACACATCTTCTTTCTTCCTATTAGAGAGATGAATATCTATTTTCATATTACACTGCCTCTCATAATGCAGACTTTTAGTAAAAAGCATCTGGAAATATTTCCAGCCATATTATATTTATGACTTAAGCAGAAATGAAAAAAAAAAAAACCCCTCTAATAATCAAACAACATGGCACTCATGATTACATATGAAACACTGAAGAAAATCCACATCTGCTGGGTTTGTAATGCTACCACAATACATTTTTCAGAGGCTTCAGAGTTCAAATGGCCATAATTTACAGCAGCATATTTATAGTATATAGTGAAATATTATATACCTCACATTAGCATCAAGTTCATCCATTACAGGAAATAGGCATGTGTGAGTTGGATCTCAGTGCCCACAGGGTCCTGTATGTGAGGGGGAAAAAAAAAAAAAAAAGTTAGACAATGAATTAATTTAGGAAAATACAAGTCCCTACTAAAGGAAAAATGTGCCAGCTAGTCATGGCTTCCTATTTAGTAAGACTCTTGTTTTGGGGCGCCTGGGGGTGCCTTCAGCTCAGGTCATGATCCCAGGGTCCTGGGATTGAGCCTGCATTGGGTTCCCTGCTCAGTGGGGAGTCTGCTTCTCCCTCTCCCTCTGCCATCTACCACTCCACCCCACCCCCGGCTCGTGCTCTGTTTCTCAAATAAATAAAACCTTCAAAAAAAAAAAAAAAGACTTGTTTTGTAGACTATCAGAAAGTATTTAGTAAATCATACTACAACAAAAAGCTACTGGCATACTGAAGTATGACAGAGCTGAGTACTGCAGTTTCTTTAGCGTTTTATTAATCTCCTGGAGATTAAAACACACAGGTACTTCTCTGTACTCCATCTTAATCAGTTTACTTCTTGTTGCTCTTCCCAGAAACACAGCTTATTTACCCGATCTGCTTTAGGACACTAGCCAGCGAAAATAAGTTGTTATCTCATCATGATTAAAATGGTATCTTGCCTAAAATGGTCTGCCATCTTGTTTCCCATGAAGATCTTCAGGGTTGGTTTTTCTTCTTTCAACTTTTTGAGGCTAGGTAATCATATACCCATTTGGAAAATCCAGTAAACTCTTGAGAACTCCCTGCCCAGAAACAATGATGGACAGGCACATACATACACACTTCCAGAGGGGCACATGATATCTCAAAGCCCATTCATGAACTCCAGGGTCAGAACTCCAAATGGAAGGGAAGTTCACTTTCAAACTACCAAAAGTCCCTCTACCAGGGACTCTCAGAAGACCTGACATACTTTCCTGGGAAGGTACTCACCGATCTCCATCAAGTTGGCCCTTTTAACTGACTGCAGTTTCATTTCTCAGAAGAAAATGTTTTGCGTCACATTTGTTCCACACCATGGCAAGTCAGAGAATGTAGGGGCAGGTCCTGGGCTGCTTCTTTGGGGGTGGCCCTGAACTAGCCCCTTTTCCCTTCTGAGTTTCATCATCCACTTCTCAGTAAACATAGGGACTGGAGGAGATGATCTCTGGGTTCACTTCCAGCTCTGACATTCTATAATTCCATCTGCTGATTTTCTAATCAAATCTTACTAAGAAGTAACTATGAATCTGTTTATCTACACAACAGAACCATGAACCTCAGACTGGGCCCTTGGATGCTTTGGTCAGGGTGGACCAAACACACTCGCCTGGCCGCCAGGAAGAGAATGGCAGACCCCCAGAGTTGGAAAGGATGTAGAGCTCTCTGTGTTTTCCAGTGTTCGTTCTTTAGAACCTTGTGGATGAACAAGGAATTCTGTGGGCACTTCTGAGTCTGGGGCAGGTGTGGGGTAAGGATTAGCCTCCAGGACTCTGAACCCCCTACTCTGACCTCAAGCAAAGTAGCTCCGTCCACTTCGATCTCTTTTACATCTTTGAATCCAATTAAACTTTGATTTGAAATATTTAAGTACAAAGCCTTAACTATTGAAGGGGCAGGCCGCATCCTCCTTTTTCCTCTACTTAGATCTTTCTTGAAGTGATCACATCCATTCCCATGGCTTAAAACAAAAAACATTTCAGAGATGCCTGGCTGGCTCAGTCGGTGGGGCACGAGACTCTTGATCTAAGGGCTGTAAGTTATAGCCCCATACTGCGTACAGAGATTACTTTAAAAATTTTTTAAAAATAAAATAAAAAGCATTTCAAACTGAACTCTACATTTCCCACTCCCAACACAAAAATTTAATCCTCCCCTAGTGCTTTCCATTTCGGCGAATGGTGCCACCACTGACCCAGTTACTTAAACAAACAACCCCTTTTTCTCACACCCTACAACCAAACTGTCAGCAAATTCATCCTATTTTGAAAATGATTCCTTAACCTAAGTTTTTCTCATTCCCTCCAGAATCAGCACCCTGGTCCACACCACCATCTCTTTTCTTCGGATCCCTCCATGCCCTCTCGAACTGCTCTCCTGCTTGCCCCCACTGTCATTGCCCCCATAGGAGATGGCAAGGGATTTTCAACATGTAAGTCAAATCATGTCTTGCCTGCATAAAATTCTAGAGGCTTCTAGTCACCCTTAGAATAAAATCCAAACTCCTTATCATGGCCAACCAGACCTGAAGTGATCTGGTCCCATCCAGCTCCTCCCCAACCTCAACTTTAGCCGTGCCCCACCCCTTCAGTGCCCTTGAGTTTCCTGGTTTTGCTACTTTCCTTGGCGATAAAAGTAGATTTTTCACCTCACGGCCTTTTCGCTCATTGCCTCCTAACTACTGCTCAACTGTCACTTCCTCATTGAAGTCTTCTCTAATCATCTGAGTAGAATTTCAGACCTCATATTCTAGAAGTTTCTATCTTCTTTATCCACTCTATTTTCTCTTACTAGCACATGCATTATTATATACTCCATTGTTTCTTTATTAGTAACTGGTCTTCCTCACTAGAATAGTTTGAAGAGGGCATAGTTAGATACCTGATCACTATTACATCCTTAGTGCCCAGAAAAATACCTAGTACGTTACATTCTCTTCATAGATACTTGTCAAGTCAATCTATCTAACTAATTAGTTCTGCAAATGAAGAATAGGTTTGAGAGTTTGTTAATTTCCAACTGGGAGCTAATCTATAGATCATCCAGGGCACAATACAGTAATTTTTAAAAGTAGCAGAAAACCATCTCCTCTATTTAGTTACCTTTTACTAAGTGTTGGCAAGGGCCAAACACTGTCTTTTTCCTCTTCTTCCAGCCTCAAAGTCTTTTGTTCCTACTGTAAGGTGAAGATACTATGAGCCAGAGAGGCTAACTGACTTGCCAGTTACCCGGCTGGCACTTGGCCAAACTGGGAACAGAATCTAGGTCTGTGAATTCTGAAACTCAAGCTTTATTTCGTAGAGTTCTTATCATCATATCACACTTCCTTCTACTAGAAGAGAAAGAATCCTTCTTTCTCTGCAAAGAGCACTTTGAATTTCCTTTGGAGAACCATCCCTCCCCGGCCTCAGTCCCTGGGTCCAGTGATAAGCACAAGACTGGCTCTGGCCAATCAGAACACTTCACTCCCTGGCCGGAATTCCTTTGCTCACCGGCTAGACTAGTGAAAGCTAACCCTGGGATTTTTGCTAGAAAGAGTCTCTGTTTTCCCTAGTGTTGCTAAACTGTTAAGACTTTCAGGATGAAGCTATTGGGGGCATCAATGCCACTTTGTGGGGAGAGCCTGTAGAGAATGAAGGTAACCACAAGGAAAGCAGAGTTGGAACATAGAGAACTTGAGGTTTCAGATACAACAGTGTCTTAAGACAGTCTTACACCTTAACTTTCCAATTATATGAGCCAACATACTCCTTTTTGTTTTCCCTTCTTTTTTTTTCCCTCTTCTTAAGCCAGTTTGAGTTGGGTTCCAGTGATTACTTGGAACCAAAGAATCCTGGATAATAGATCCCCCCCAAAAAAAATCAATATTGTATTTATATACAGATTAGAAGGAAGAAAAACTGGAACTAAGAAAACCAGTTAAGAACTCGCTGAAGATCATCTCCTTGAAACTGCATTTGAAAATGTTACAACACGGGGGAAAAAAAAAAAAAAAAACCTGATATATTCATGGCAGTACATATTGTTATGTCTTGCTCATCAGAAACCCAATGAGCAAATTTAAAATGATTGCCATTTAACAAGCCAGTGAGACAGCCTGCATTTTGTCAGAGAGAGAGAGGAACAGTAACAGAAGATAAATTGGTGCTGATTTGTTTCCATCCGGATTTGATTAATCCATCACAGTCCACTATTTTCTGCCATGCTCACCAGGGCTAACTAATCAGAAGCGAGATTACAGGGACACCTCTTGTCAGGAAGATTGCATATAGCAAGAGGGGTGTTCAAGGAACCAGTGTTTTTATCTCACATACTTACATTTCTGGCTCTTTAACCACCTAGGCAATTAAAGATGCAATCAACTGAGAACATCTTTTATGTCTGGGTATAAGCTATGTCACTTCTAAAAGTTCCACCAATCTGAAATTCAATTAGACCACATGTACATTTTAACCACAGTCATGTTGTGTCCTTATCTAAGGGACAAGGAAGGAGATCCCTATGTTGGTCTCCTACAGGGAAACAGTCCTAGATTCTCGTAACCAGACAAAGAGCACGGCAAATCTTGGGAAATGCATGGAAAAGAGAGTCAAACAGAACTTTCTACCATGTGAAGTCCAAAGAGAGTTCTCAGTATTCTCTCAGGGCTAGGACAAACTCAAGCAACCAGAATTATTCAAAATGCTTTATCCATCACAAAAGTAAAGCTACAGCAACATCCAACTCTATCAGATTCTTTGGAGTTTCTTTTTCTTGTTGGGTACATTGAGATTGATCTTTTCCTTAAAAAGGGGGAGGAGGGGCGCCAGGGTGGCTCAGTGGATTAAAGCCTCTGCCTTCAGCTTGAGTCATGGTCTCAGGATCCTGGGATCAAGACCTGCATTGGGCTCTCTGCTGACAGGGAGCCTGCTTCCCCCTCTGTCTCTGCCTGCCTCTCTGCCTACTTGTGATCTCTCTCTCTGTCAAATAAATAAGTAAAATTGAAAAAAAAAAAAAAAAAAGGAGGAGGAGGAGCAGGTCATCATACTTATGCCACCCAATGCTGATTCCAACCCTTGGTTTTCTGGCTTACAAATTTTAAATACCTACAGGGCAAACCCAAAAGGTAAGTACAGCCCATCTTTACCCCTTGTTCTTTTACTCGGAATATACTGAAAGATTGCTGTGGAACAGTTGTTAATGGTTAACAGAAGGTGTGTAGTTGCATCTCTATTATGAGAAGTGTGAGCATAGGGCTCACCTGTAAATAGTCTCCACCTGCTGGAGTGAAATGAGACGTAGTTTGGAACAGTGCCAACACCTGTCAACCTGAAGCTATGTCATAACCTCAGC